AACCGGAATTGTTTAAAATTTGAAATTCGTAATGGACACTACAGCCTAAGACAGAAAATTGTATGTGCCGGTCCACGTCTTCTTATAGGCCCCATATACTAGTACCTCACTATATTCGGTGTTTTGACGAGTTTAGGTACAATACCCACCGAAATTGTTTGAGATGTCGTATTTGAAGTTCGTAATGGATGCTACAGCCTGTGACAGAAAATTATCTATGCTGGTCCAGGTCTTCGCACAGCTCCGATATAACGGTACCTCCCTATATACGATATTTTGACGATTTTAGCTACATTATTCACTATTTATTTTAAGTTTCGAATTTGAATTTGGTATTGACTTATGACAAACAATGCCTATGTAGGTCCACGTTGTATAGACACCAATATAATGACAATATTCGGTATTTTTAAAATGATAACACAATTTTTTAAGGATTCCAAAATTCGTTCCGAACTTACTGCTTTTTGACTTGTTATATCCACAAAAGTGTATATATTCTTGATCAACCTAAGATTCTATTTCAATTTACCCATGTTCGTCAGTCTATCTCTCTGTCCGTCTGTGAAAATTACTACAGCTTCCGAATGAAATGAAGTAGCTTGATAACATTTTGCTGGGATGCATTTTAGGTCCGAAGTTTTTGGCATTTATTAGTTTGTGTTCCCTATATGTAGGAACTGTCTATATAGCTCCAAGTTTAGGTATATCCCCCGTATAACTATACCCCTTATAGTCGGTATTTTGAAGAATTGGTATTTTTAATGAATTTGTGATTTCAGAAGGACTAAACATATTCGTGGTTGAGTGAAAATATTGGTATTTATACCCTTAACCACATAGTGTTAAGGGTATTACGTCTTTGGAGATTTGTTTGTATCATGGAGAAGGAAACGATTTATGTTCATATTTACTTTTGAGGATCCTCATATAATCACTTTCTGAGTTGATTTATGCATGTCAGTCCGTATGTCCGTCCGTCTGTCTCTCTGTCCTTGTATTTTTGTAAACAAAATGCAGGTGGCATTTATTTCCAATTCATATGACAATTTTTCCAGACTGTAGGCTAATTACCCCAAAGACCTCCCCTATTCAAGTTGGTGCGAATCGGTAAAAATTTAGATATAGCTCCCATATATATATTTGACCGATTTCAGGTTAATTGTGCACCAAATGGTGAATATCAAGCAAATGGAGTTAGTTTCGGCAATTCAGATCGAATTCAGTCTACAAGCATATACTTAAAATTTCGTGGAAATCTTTTTAGATATAGCTACAGCTATAGGCCCTCACATTCGTAATATACACTCCACAACAGTGTTATTTAGTACGAGATATCTCATAGACCTCATAAATACCACTGCGAAATGTTGTAGAGATCCACTGAAATTTGGATATAGATAAATTCCATGTATATCTTCATCCAATGAGCTATTGAATGGATTTTTCCGCATTCAACTGAATCTTCCATTTGGTGAATCAGGGCTCCGCTGGTTATGTTTTATATATTCCTTTTGAAATATCAGCACGCACTCTATCGCAATGTTTTTTTGGTATGAGAGGAGCAAATATAGAGACTTAAATAAAAAAAATCGGGATTCCAGCCTTATTCCTTCAGCAAATACTAAATTAGGTATCATTTAGTAGTTTCGTACAAATATAGAAGGCGTTTGCAAAATCACCTCCTATCTCCGTCAAATTTGGTGGAAATCGGTAAAGCGTTTGATATCCCTGCCATATATTAGTTCCTTGCGATTCCAAATTTAACTGAACTAAAGCTATGCAACGCATTTAAAGAAGGGACATAGATGGTGTACATTAAATAAATATACAATAAGTATATATATTAAACAAATATTCCTTTTGACCTTTCTTTACTGATTTTTACACAAAAGTTGTTGGATGACCAATCAAATTCGTGGGCTTTTATTGTAATCCCTTTCCCAATTCAAAATTCCACTCCAATTGGTCTATAATTTTGACCTGTGAATTACCCCTAAATATTTTGAGATCATTTCATTTCATTTAAAATTTCGTGAGGATCAGACCATTATTACGGCCTGCAGCGAAATCATGAATTAAAATGGACAGACGAATAGCTCCATGTATAACATCTTGGGTATGGGACAAATATTTCGAGGTGCTACAAACTGGTTGACCCAATCAAGCTTATAATACACCCAACATATAGTGTTGTGGTTTAAAAAGTATGTACCTAATATATATCAAAAAGGGAAGATAAAACTCAAAACTTCATAGCGAGTTTGACTAATTGACTAATAATTTGACTAATTGCTAATTGTACCATGACCTAAAGCTGATATTTTTCGTTTGGCCTAACATTTGTTGTTGCAAAAAAAATTTCCATATGTGGAACGCTGATGCCCAGCATTAGGGGTGTAGAATGTATAGAATAGAATGAAAATCGTCCCCGCCCTACTTAGCTTGTTCTTTTTACCCTCCACCACACATAGTATGTAGGGTATATTAAGTTCGTCATTCCGTTTGTAACTCACCGAAATAATAATTGTTGACCCAATGAAGTATAAATATTCATAATCGGCGTAAAATTTTAATATGATTTAGCCAAAAATTATTTAAGATAGGAAACTTAAATTATGCACAAATCCGTCTCTTGTCTGTAGGCATGTCAAGTTCGAAGATGGGCTACATCGGTCCACGATATCGTATAGCCCCAATATAAAGGTACTCCCCCACATTTTTGTTTTTATACCCTACAACACTATGTGTTGGGGGTATTATAAGTTTGATTGGGCCAAAAATTATGTAACACCTCGAAATATTGATTTCCCACATAGGAAAGTATATATGGATCTTCCTAGCTCGCCGAGCTGAGTCGATCTAGCTATGTATGTCCGTCCGTCCGTCTGTCCGTCTGTCCGTCTGTCCATGTTAATTTGTAATCACTCTACAGGTCGCAATTATGGCCCGATCCTTACGAAATTTTGCACGAAGGTGGGGTTAGGGTCAGAATAGAACCCTATTTCTTTTGGAGATGATCGCCAAATGTTTAGGGGTTGAAATGGACCAAAAACTGAAAAAATGTCGGATTTTGCAGTAGCAATACAGGTCGAAATTATAGACCAATCGACGGAATTTCGCATGTAGCTAGAGTTAAGGGCGGGGAAGAAGCCTACCAATTTGAGTGGTCATCGGATAATATTTAGCGGGTAAAATAGAGCATATCTTTTGTGCTGAAAAAATTCAACATTTTTCATTAAACCGCGATATATATGTTTATATGTTTATCAAAGAAGATATGCTTGAAAAATCTCTTATATGTCGAGAACGGCTGAACTGATTTCGACAGTTCTCATTAATTCAGAATGGCCTCTTGGCAGGAAAGAAAAAACGTCTAAAAAATCGCATAAAAATATCTCTCTAAAGATGAAAATATTGTTTTTTTTTTAAATTTTCTCATATTTTTTCAATTTTTGTCATATTTTTGGCATATTTTCATTTTGAATTAAACATTTGGTAATATTTGTACAGCTAACAAAACTAAGTAGTTAGGATATCAGGATATCATATACAGATCACATTTATGGCCCGATTCTGACCATAAATCATATTGGAAATGAGCAAATTAGTTTAAGTTGCTATTATTCGAAAATTAGAGAACGGAACCTGATGGTTTTCTTTTATTATTTGTCACAATATCTTGTGGAATTCTTTCAAGTATCTCGCCTATATAAACTGTATCGTTTATTATAGTGTTGTAGGGTATTCAACGGTCGGCCCCGCTCGACTGTAGCCTTTGCTTACTTGTTTTTTTTTTTATATTTTTCAATGGAATTGTCTGAAATTCTACACAAGGAGTTCTTTATAAGAACTTTACCCCCTCAAAGTGAATTGTCTATATACGTCCACGATATCGTATATCCCCCATATAACGGCACCTCCCGATATTCGAAATATTGATGATTTTAGCCACAATTTTTAATGGAATTATCTGAAAATCCACACAGAGTTCCTTGTAAGTACTTTATACCCTGGAAGAGAATTATCTATATCGATCCACGGTATCGTATAGCACCCATATAACGGTACTTTATTCCCAGGGAGAAAATTATCTATATCGGTACATGAGATCGTATAGTCCCCATATAACGGCACGGATATTCGGTATTTTCATAATTTAAGCCACATTTTCCAATGGAATTATCTGAAAATCTACATAAGGAGTTCTTTGTGAGTACTTTATCCCCTAGAAGAGAATTATCTATATCTGTCCACGTTATCGTATAGCCCCCATATTTGATTTTAGCCATTTTTTTCAATGGAGTTGTCTGAAATTCTACACAAGGAGTTCTTTGTGAGTACATCACCCTCTGGAAGAGAATTGTCTATATAGTTCCACGATATCAGATATTCCCTATTCGTTATTTCGGTATATCTTAACGATATTCGTTATTTTGATGATTTTTGCAATGTTATTCACTGGAGTTGTTTCAAATTTCGTATATAAAGTTCGGAACAGTTACTACAGCCAATGACAAATTACTTATGGAGGACCACGTCTTTGTATAGCCCCCATATAACGGTTTTCATTTGAGCGGTATTTTCCGACGGATTTTTTTGAAAATTTTCAATTTTTTTCCAAATCGTGGTGGGTATAAAAATTACGACCCGGCCGAACTTAGCTGCTTTTTTACTTGCTTTTGTTTTATTTTCTCTTTATTCCATTTACGTATTTCAAATGCATCGACATAATGTCAAAAATTTGTGTCCTTGTTAAAAATATATTCATGTTGTCATACGAGTATGTAAATATACCAAAAATTGGTATTGTGTTGCTGCAAAACAAATGTAATTGACTTCAAATTTATTATACATAAAGTAACTTGAAACACACACACACATACACTTTCAGTTATGTATGTGTATTAAGGGATTCGATATATAAAAAATACATTAAAATGAATAACAACAACAATAAGAGAAAGAAATATTAAATGTCAAATATTGTCAATACTTACTTGTCATATAAAAGAACAATGTCAAAAATGCAATCATGTTGACAGCTTCTTTGTCGCGATAATGTCGCTGTTTGTTTCAATGGATTTCTCTGTCAGTCAGACAGGTTCAATATGAACTGACTAGGCGTAGGAGTGTTTGTTGCTCTGTTTTTTTTTTTTGCCGAAGGTGTGCTTTTTTACACACACATATATTTTTTTATGTAAAAATTATTATTTTTTATTTTATTGATTTCCAAATATATATATAATGCTTTGTTGGGAGTTTGTATGTATGTGTGATTATTTTCCAGCGCATAAAATGTACTACTCCCCTGTAATTCCACATAAAGTTAAAATAAATTAAGTTGGGCCAAACAAAATCCAAAGTCTCAATCCTGGTAATTTGAAGCACGTAACTCAATGATAAAAGACAATAGGTCCCTGCCGCCTTCCCCCGGTAATAATATTCAAATTTTGTGTATCCAACTTTTGTTACAAACAACACCAGTGATGGGGTGTTGAAACCCCTAGCTTTGCCTTGTCGTGGTAGTATTTAATATTGCCAGCTCACGGTATCGCCTTGTTGTCTATGTTGTAATGCTAAAGATTTAGTTGTAAGTAAACGGGCGTTCAATAAACGGAAGCGTTGCTAAAGACACAACAACAGTTCAGTGGCTCGAGAATGTATACCCCCTAGCAAGAGACCATTAACCTTTTGCACGAAATTATATATATATATATTTATATATGTAAGTAGTATGTATATGTTCATGGGGGAATTGGTGGAAGTGACTGGCGGCAAAGTAGTAGGTGCTGTGATTACAGCTCGCTGGTTGGCAGGCTGGTTGGTTGGTGGCAAAGTAGTGGGACTGTTGATATTATTGCTGATGTGATGGAGGTGGTAGTGTTGGTGGTGGTGGTGGTGGTGGCTGATATAGTTGCAGGCAACGGCTGTGGCTATAAAGGTGAAAAGCCATTACCAGTTAAATCGATATAAATTATTTGTTATGGCACACAATTTGCTGGATGGCTGGCTGACAGAGTAGCTGGTTTTATTTTTATTTTCACTTCTAATTTTAGTTTTCTTTTTTTGGCTCTTTACTTGTTTTTTTTTTTACTTTTTTGAGAAATTGAATAGTTAACAATTTAATAAGAATTTTATGGCCTTGTTGGATGATTGCATCGATTGATTGACTTGTTTGTGTTTTCAATTATAACAACAAACAGTACCTGCGCGTATGTGTGTGTTTAATGACAAATTAAAATCAATTAATTACACACACATGTATTTGTAATGGTGAAAATTAATTTGTTTTTCTTTTATGCCGTTTGACTTCAATCGGCATTCCCATAAAATGCTGGGCAAATTATTTTTTTTTATTTGCATTAATTGCACACGAACAAACACCACATAATGCAAATATGAATAACAACAATTTACGTAATTCAATAACCCTCCGTATCAGATGAATACGCTCAATAAAGTTGATCATTTATTCAGTTGAAGTAAAATTCGTATTTTATTTTCCATTTGCCACGGTCACTAATCAATTTAAATTCATCGTTTCTTTTTTTTTTCTTCTTCACATTATATGATTTGTGTTGTTGTTGCTGGCTGTTGTTGGTTATTTTTAATTACTTTCCTTCCAGCAGATCGCCCGTGCACATTATCCATTTGTCCGTGTCCGAGTGAGTAATTGCATTCACACTTGTTTTGTATGATTCGTTCGTTCGTTCGTTCGTTCATTCATTTGTTATCTGTAAATGAAACAAACAAAAACAAATCGATTGAATAAACGCTAAAGGTATAGAATTTTATTATTAATCATATGAAAGTGTGTACTCAGGCGTATACGCAATGTGCTAACTAATGCAATGCACATAATGTATACGCATTGGCCTACATTGACCGAGCAGTAACACAATACAGCTGATATTTGTTGTGGTTATTGTTTTCAATCTATATACTAAATATTATAAATTGTAAACCTCGAAAATAATAATGTGGGCCCAAAGAAAAAGCATTAAATACAAATGGATCAGAATCCCATATTGAGTAGCAGTTATCGGGTCAAATTTTTTTAATCTATGTAGAGATGGTACGCTATGTTGTTTTTGTACACTACAGGCTACAGAGGGTATATATCATTTTATACGGTCAAAAACGTGCCTCATTGAAATAACGGTTATAGATTTTAGGTCTCTTTGGATCAAATCCGTTTCGAAACATTTAGAGTCGATCTGGGGGTGTCCTTCGCCCGTCTGTCTGTCTGGATGACTGGAGCGAACGATACCTCTCGAAGGGAGTATCCAGTTTCATCCAACCTTGGCATATTCTTATATTATTATCAAATTTAGATCGAGTTCGGAGATGGGCAATATCGATCTTCTCCTTTCGGTACTTTCCCCACAAAAAGTCGAAATTTTCTCCAACTTTGAAAATTCTACTAATTAAACTAGTGCTTGGTCAGGTGCGAAAATTGACAATATCGGTTCACTCCATCAAGTACCTCACCCCCACAAAAAATTATCCCCCCCCAACAATTTCATACAGACATGGTACATCTCAATATGTACATCAAAACAAGATCTGTTATAAAGATGGGAGTGATCGATTTTGAAAATCCAAACGCTCAAAGAAATTGAAATAAGCATCCAACTCTCTTCAAATTTCACACATACAAACATTTTTGCTAACACAAGATCTGATATTTCTCTAAACCAGAAAGCTGAGATGAATCTGGAATTTATTTCGGAATTTATTTATGGTTTCGCATGAAATTGGATATAAATTTTAAATTTTCTTGTAAATTTGTCCATACCAATATTTGTATCTGAAGTGTGAAAATGGAATACTTCGCTCGACTATATCTGGTACCTCACGCACATTTTAACTTTTTTGAAAAATTATCACATATCTCATATAAAGTGAAGGAAGTAGTCGATATTGTCCGCAATATTTATATTATATTTATTTAGGACCATTCCCTCGGAACCTACTCCATAGAGGGTCAACAATTTGAATTATCATATCAGAAGTCAAAATATATTTACATAATCGAACATTGGCAGAGGGTATACATCTGTCGGCGAAACCTCCATAATAAAGTGGGGATTTTCTCAGCTTCCCGATGGGGAATATGACTATTTGCTGTGAGAACTACTTACAAAAATGTTTAAATGTAGCGTTAGCCCGTTCGGGACATACCCAGAGGAGAAAATCTGAAGCCCTCTTACTATCGGAAGGCTTCTTACCAAATGTATCAAATTTGGAAAACTTCGGTTTGCGTCAGCCATAATCCCTGTTCCATTATGGGGCCTGTCCACCTGTTGAAATCAAGATGCAGCCCACTTTTTTTTAGGTAGAGCTTCAAAATTTGGCAGAACAATTTGTATAGGATGGTTGGTATTGAAAATGAGATATATCGGTCTACGTTTTGGAATAGCCGCCGCATAACGGTACCTCCCGATATTCGGTATTTTGATTGTTTTTTCCACATTTTTCAAGGATTTATCTAAAAATTGGTATTTGTAGATAATGGGTTCTAGCTCTGGTGGCGAAACATTGTATGTATAGGTCCACGTTTTTGTATAGTCCCATATAATGGTACCTCCCGATATTCGGGGGTATTATAAGTTTGATTGGCCCAAAAATTATGTAACACTTCGAAATATTGGTCTCGCCGAGCTTAGTCGATCTAGCTATGCGAGTCCGTCCGTCCGTCTGTCCATGTTAATTTGGTACAGGTCACAATTATGGCCCAATCTTCACGAAATTTATAATGGAAGTGGGGCTTGGGCCAGAATAGAAGCCTATTGCTTTTGGGGATGGGACGAACAGGTCAATTCTGACCGTTAAGTAGATGCCGATAGTAAATATATCGGATATATATAGCGATATATATACACAAATGAAGCGGAAGTTAGTTTGACAAATTTTGTCAATTCAGATTGCACCCTTGGCATAAAAGAATAAAATCTAAAAAAAAAAAAATCTCATAAAAAGATGCCCATAAGGATGTAAATATAAATTTTGTAGTATTTTGTGACATTTTTTTATTTTTTCGTATTTCTTATCGCATGCGATTATTTCAATTTAACTTATAATATTGAAATGTATATTTTGTAATATTTTTTCAGCTTACAACACAGGTTGGGGTTATTATATACAGATTGCAATTATCGTCTGATCCTCACGTAAATTTTCACAAGGGTAGAGTTAGGCTCTGAAAGGCTAGGCCTATTGTTTTCAAAGATGTCCGCAATATTTTTAGAGGTTTAAATGGATCATCAGCAGCAGTTATAAAGGTCACAAAGAAAAAACAAAGTTAAAGTTTATGACAGTGAGTAGAATGGACCATTACTTTTGTGTGAAAAAAAACCAGCATTTCCATTCTACCGAAACGCCTTAAATAACTTACAGACGGAATCCAAAATACACAAATGGCGAACTTCTGGCTTTTTATGCTGATTTCGTTAACCAATATAGCCAAATATCGTAGACAAGCAAATCATATACATGAGTATAAATTAAGAGATATAGAGGGGCCTCTTGCAAAATATTTAGGGTTCAAATGAACCCAAAATAGAAAAATTCTCCTGATCACACAATTGAAATCAATCGACCTGGAATTTTGCATGAGATGAGAGTTAAGGATAGGGAAGAAGTCTAGCATTTTAGATGATCATTTTATTATATTTAGCTGTAACTAACAGCACGACGGTGTGCATAAATATAGGCAAATGTCCCTGGTCAAAAAGCTATGGGCAGTACTCTATGACATAATTTCAAAAGCGAAATCTTCCAAAATGGATTTGGACATAAGGGGCTCCTAACATATTGTAGTGTTGTAGGGTATCACATGTTCGGCCCCGCACGTCTATAGCCTCTGCTTACTTGTTTTTTTTTTTTCAAATTTTTGTGTGGGTAATGGCCAGAGACCCTCTAAGTTCTACTCAAGTTCCAATAGTAAATCTTTTTCACAGCAAAGTTTGTTTTTGTAGTGATGGTTCTTTTACAACAACACAACTTCCGATGCATACACCTGTTATAGTGCTGCTGTAGGAAGACGGGTTAATGGCTACGAGAGAGACGTTGAGACGGCAACTTCTAGTTGGCTGCACACCGAGGTCCGCGGTTCAAATTCCACTGCCAGCTTAACCAACGGCCGATGACCATAAAGGAGGATGAGCCGGCAAGAACTGTAATTTAAACACAGAATTATGCATGTTTGCAAATTGGTTTTATGAATTCTTAATGTTCGCATGGTTAACTTGTCCTCCAAAAAATATATATGTTTTGGTGTAGTCGTTTTGATAATGGTATTTAATGAACATTTAATTATTTGTTTGCAGAAAATTTGCAATAACTGTTAGCATTTTGGCATAACTTTGTAGACGACGCTACCGCCCTACTTTTACACTTTTGAAATCATTTACTACAGTTTTCCGTTAATTTTTTTTTTTTGGTAATGCCATATATAGATAGTGGATAATGAAATAATATACAAAAGTGCCAAAACTGATGTAGTAAAAGCGAGTGAGAACAAATCTTACGCAACCCTTGATTCGTACAAAAATAAAAAAATTGAATTGGATCGAATTTTAATAAAACTCTGCAGCGTTATTTCTAGGCCTAATATGATATATCGCAAAAAATGTCTTTACAAGTTTCAGGTAATTTAAAACATAAATTGGCAACATTTGACATTGGATGTGCATAAATCGGCTCTGGATGTAATTCTATAGAGATAACCAAAAGGAACTAAGAGTCTATCTCGTTTTCGTTTATATGTTACAAAAAAAACCACAAAAGCCTAACACTTTTTAGCAATAATTATATGTTGAATTGAACAGTAAGGAAAGGTGAAAAGTCGGACATAGGAACCAATATAGGTCATAGGACCTAATTTAGGTCATAAGTTTGTTAATATTGGTAAAACTTTGGTCAGACACAGCTATAACTCCCACATATATGTTTCATACGATTTCAAATTCGGTTAGGATTTGAATATAGCTACCAATATGTAATATCAAATATGTAATATCATCCCATTTGACAGTGACTACCAAATTTAGCCTTGAGGGCGCATGTCAAACTTTGTGAAAATCTAATTATATAAAAATATTATGGCACAGGAGGTGGAACCCAAAACGAACTACACATTTTGGCTTTTTAATAAATGCTTAAGAACGTGTGGCTTATTTCAAAATACCGAACATCGGGAGTGACCGTTATATGGAAACTATATAAAAACGTAGACTTAGTTAATTAGCATTCAATATTAATCATCTTTGGCACAATTTAATATTATTATGCCAAATTTCAAATAATGTCTTGATTATAAGAGATACGGACGAGACAAGACTCTTTACGAACATATATAAATTATGGGGTATAGGAAGTGATAAATTTAATATATCCTTCTTTCCATGGCGACGATTATAAAAATAGGATGTACCAAGTTTCAACAAGAACGCATACATTAAAATTTATACAGTTGTAAATTTTAAAACTGTACATGAGATATGTAAAAATTAAAGAAAATCGAATCTGCATCTCCAAATATAGGCTCACTTATATGATTTGCTTGTCTACGATTTTTGGCCATAATCGTCAAATAAATCAGCATAAAAAAAGTCAGAAGTTCGCCTTTTGTGTATTTTGGATTTCGCCTGTAAGTTACTTTCAGCGTTTCGGTAAAATGGAAATGTTGGTATTTTTTACACAAAAGTAGTGGTCCATTCTACCCGT